ACAAATGTTGCACTTGTCTCTGATAGGATTTTTATTTTTCATTTACTTTGCGTTTTAAAATATACTGTTTTTTTTCTTTTGTAGTAATGAAGGAGCATCACAGATGTTAACATTTTTGTCTCTCTATTCAACTTGATGACCCTGTGCCAATATTTCAGCACAGTAATGTTTTATAATAAGAATTATGGCCATTGAACCACCATTTATGTTTTTCAAAATAAACTAGAATTACCACATGCCTCCACACACCAGTCAAATTTCTCTTACAGTTTACATCAATGTCTGTGAAAACAAGGGTGCTTCACACACATCTTTCCCCCTGCAGCACAGAGGATCTTTATAATCCGCAGTTTCAAATTATATATTATCAAGTGAAGTTGATCTTTGACCTTTTGGAAATGAATTGTAATCACTTCATAATTATAACTATTAGATGTTTTAGACATTAATTAGCAAATCATTTCTTGAGCTATGGCCAAAAGCCGTTTTGTGAGGTTACAGTGACCATGACCTTTGAACTTTGACTGCTAAATTCTGATCAGTTCATCCTCGAATCAAAGTGGATGTTTGTGCCAAATTTGAAGAAATTTCCTAAAAGTATTAGTGAGATATCCCATTCATGAGAATGCTACTGACAAGGTCACAGTGACCATGACCTTTGACCACCAAAATCTAATCCAAGGGGACATTTAAGCCACAGCTGAAGAAATTCCCTCTAGGCATTCTTGACATATAAAAAAAAAATCAGTGTTAAGTCCAAGGGGAAGTTCGTGCCAAATCTGAAGAAGTTCCCTCAAGGTGTTCTTAAGATATTGTATTCACAAGAATGAGACAGACAAGGTCACAGTGACCTTGACCTTTGACCAATGACATTAGATATTGTGTCCAGATATTGGCATAACAGCGTAAATGTGTTTTTCTTTTCTCCTCTGTACTGAAAATGTACCTAACCATGATCCTGAATCTGAGGTACACACCGACCTGTGGATTTTGTGTGCTATTGCACCCCTAATATTCAGTTAGTATACCTCCAATTAATTAACTCCAATTGCTTGTGGCAGTTTTTAGTCAGTGCATATAAGAAGTATTCTGGAAATCAAGAATCTCAATAGTAAAATACACAAGTCAAAGATTATAATTTTGAAATCACCTATCATTATGTCAACATGTTCCACACAAACAAATATATTTCAGTCAACACACTCCAAATGTAACGTTAAAGTGTATGGTTAGAGATATCAAAGAGAAGGTGCAGTGCAGGACTAGCTGTGCCTGTTTGTTGCCCATTACAGTATGCACAGAGCATGACAACAGCAGCCCCTGCATGAAGCAGTGTGAGGCGCTGAGCCGGGTGGTCCATGTGAGCTCCCTGTTATCAGAGGCCAACAAAATGCCATGCTGCCTCTGTAGATGAGCTGATCTCCTCTTCTCGCTCTCCCAGGGAAAGGTCAGATAGCTACAGAGGAGTTTTTCTTTTTTTAATAGAATGTTAGGACATGCCAGGGGCCAAAAACATAAGGTTACAGAGGCACAAAATACATAAATCCCATCACTTTGCATCAATGAAAAGATCTAAAACTCTACATTTTAAAGGCCTAACATTTTAATTACCTGTCACATGGCTGGAGAGTTTTGTTTAATTTATGATGTCATGGCAAGTATGTCCTGCTGAAAAGGTGTTGAAAATACTCATCTGTGATGCCTAATAAAGGCTTTCTATTAGGGACGCACCGAATATTCGGTAACCAAATATATTCGGCCGAATATTGCAAAACAACACACATTCAGTATTTGGTGGAATAAGTGAAAAGCAAGGCTGGATAATAGTGGCGTGTTTTGATGACGCAATCAAACAGCTTGCGGTGATGGACGGAGTGAAATGTCGGCAGTGTGGCAATATTTCAAAGTGTTGGAGAGTGATAGAAGAAAAGCGGTTTGCAAAGAATGTAATACTGAACTATCTAGAGTAGTGTTGCAGGGTATACTGGTACCAACGGTAGGCCGCGGTACTAAAACACCACCATACGTATGATGCCATAATGTTGGAGTACCGTAGTACTACGGTACCTCAGGTACCACTACTGTGGGATAAGTTCAAAGTCCACTCGCACGAGGTTGAGTGTTCATGCGTCGTCCAATAACTGCGCGCGCTGGCCACCTGGCACTCAGTATGCTGCTGCAGTGGTTTGTTTTCCTCTTCTTGGCGCCATGACTGCCCAAAAGTACCTGGACAGCCGAGCCGTGGCGGCACACAGGTATGTAACGTGTCAGAGGAGAAACGAGCCGTTCACATTTCTCTCTTTGTGGCAGGTAACAGTCCACAAACCTCACCGCACTTTAGGGACTGTTCTTTACTTATGGAGGAACTGTTCTTTACTTGTCAGGGGAGGAGGGTGGCTGGTTGATTTTGGTTGATTTTTATTTTATTTATTTATTTTATTTTGATCCCCCCTATGTTAATCACTCATTGATGCTGTTTTTGAAGTATGAATAAGTCAATAAGTAATTTATTCCATTGAAATATCATTGATGTATTATAGAAAAGTGATTTATCTTTTCATAAATGACAAAGGCACATCTGCCTCATTTTCGCTGTGGTATCGTGATACTACTCAGAACCGTGATACTTTCACTGGTATCATACCGTGGGTCCCAATTTTGGTATCGTGACAACACTAATCTGGAGGGAGTTCATCTGCAAAAACTAATGAACAACTAAACAATGGCATTCGGTACTCGGTATTTGACCAAGCGTTTAATTTTATTTGGCTTCGGCTTCAGCCACAAATTTTCATTTTGGTGCATCCCTACTTTCTATTACAAAATAAAGCAGTTGTTGCTGTAGAGCCATGACCTCTGACTTCAATTCATGGCTGAGTGTTATTTCTTCCTTGTTTGTCAGGAATTTCACTGGGTTTATTTTACTGCCTGATGTACAAGTAATGTGTGTACAGAAAAACATGCATTCATCATTCTCCCACATAAACTGATAACTGAGTTCACAAGCACCCGATTTCACAAAAATTGAAATTTCTGCTGTTGTGCGTGCATAGTTTTAGTCTTGACCCCACTCAGAGTTCTCTGCACCCCGTCAGCACACAGTAATGCTGAGTTGTACTCCAAAACATTTTGGATGTCGAGACAATAAACTAGTTAAAAAGCAGGAACAAACCAGTGTCTCACAGTTTAGCTTAGATTAGCAGCACACTATCAGACATGTGTCTGCAGTGTGCTTCCACGATTCTTGGCTCCTTGTGTGAACACAATGACTTAAACTGTAAACTCAGACTGTAATATACTACTTTAATGCATTTGAGGACAGTGAAAAACTGGAATTACCGCCTCACACTTGTATGCCTCCGAGAACCTGTCAAAATATGAAAACATGGATGCTTCACACACATCTTCCCCCAGCAGCACATAAGATCTATACAATCAGCACACTTCCAGATGGAGACCAAAGATTAGTCACCAGTTCAACATCTGACCAAATGTCTCCCTCTCTGTTCCTAAGACATGGCATTAAATAAAGGCCAGGAAAGTGTTTTTGCAGAACATTATGATGTCACAGTGAAGCTGACCTTTGACATTTTTGATAAAAATGTCATCACTTCATCATTTTATCCTATTAGATATTTGTGTGAAATTTTCTTAAAATTAGCGTATGAATTCTGGAGATATGGCCACAAACATGTTTTGTGAGGGCCCAGTGACCTTTGACCATCAACATCTAATCATCTCATCCTTAAGTCCAAGTGGAGGTTCAAGCCAAATTTGAGGAAATTTCCTCAAGGTGTTTTTGAGATCCTGTGTTCACAAGAATGCAATGGACATGGTCACAGTGACCATGACATTTGACTTACTTTTGACCACCAAATTCTGATCAGTTCATCCTTGACTCAAATTGAATGTTTGTGCCAAATTTGAAGAAATTCCGTCATCGAGTTCTTGAGATACTGTGTTTACCATAATTGGACATACATACCAACAGTGTGGGCAGAAACGCGTTACTAGTAACATGTGTAAGAAAACAACTAGCTAGGTGAAAACGCTTACGTTAGCGGCTGAAAATATTCTCATTACTTTGGTTTTGGCCGGAGGAAAGATGACAAGAACACTACTGTTGCAGGTAGTCGGACTAAAACTCTTTCCACTGCAAAAAACACACATCCTCAAACCTCTGGTTGGAAACACATCGACTCCTACGACCAACAGCACAACAACATGAAGCTCCAGGAAATACACCCCACCAAATTTGAGTCCTTTGTGGAGGTCGGCTGTAGCCCTGCACTGGCTAAACAGAGTAATGAGGAATGAGTAATATATGACATTTTTAGAGTAACAAGCCTAACACCTTGCACGGACAACCCAAATACATAATGCATCTTGCCACAGCTATCACCAGTGCTGATGCATAAAATTTATCTTGTAATATGAAGACAACTTCAACAGCAACCCAGTCAGTTTCTGATACTTTATAATAATAATAACAAATGTTTAAAAAGACAGAAAAATGATCTTATTGACAGAAACGTAATGTGATACCATATTTCTTTGGAAGGTGTTTGTGAATGTGCAGTTTTTATTTGCACTTTTTATTCATCATGCACTGAGAGCATTTCCTTCTACTGACAATGCCATGCACCAAAGTTTAAGTGGGTGGAAAATGTGGGAAATTGATGTCATTTAATTAGTGGAGATGGAACAGTCTACTCTATTGCAGTCCAATTTTCCCCTTTTATTCATCATAACCTGTGCACAGAGATGATTTCCCCTTCAATGACACTGCCATACATGTCATACACCAAAGTTTTAGTTGGGAAAAAAAAACTAGCAAATTTATGCCATTTAATTAGTGGGGATGGAACACTCTTCTCTATTGCAGTCCAATTTCTGAGTTAAGCTGATGAGACACTTGAAAAAAAAAAAAAAAAACCTTGCATAATGCAGTTTAAATATCCATGCTGATTTCTAATTTATTACTGAGCAGAAGTACTTACACTGCACCTCCAGGTATTTCTGTGCTTGGTAGTCCTTGACTGCAGGGTGGTCTACGATGCAAGCCACTGCTACACCATCATCCTCCTTACTGACAGTGAACGTTAGCCGGCTGGTTACTGTGTACATCTTGTCGTAGGTCAGCTCGACTTTGGGCTTGCCTGTGGGAGGTAGGAAACACAAGCAGACTTACACACAGCAATACAGGTGCTTTCTTGGATTTCAGTTGAAATATGAATGAACCTCACATAGAAAGTCCATAAACTTCACTTCTCTCTTTGCGGTCTGGCAGGACCCAGTCAGGTAGAGAGCAAAAGGAACTCAGGAACTCAGCCTGTCAGTGACAATTTATCAGTCGATTTGGGTCCAGACCTTCACCTACAGTCATAATCTTTGCTGTGCAGTGACCAAAAGAACAGGATGGCAAATACACGACTTCTTTCCAAGTGTCCTTTGCAGTACGTCTGGTTATAGTTCCCCAAAGCTGAACTCATTAAGCATTTACTTCACCTTTGCAAGTGATTCCACCGAAATGAATCAATTTTAGTCTGAACTTTTACTGTTTTAAGTGCAGGTGTGACAGGCCCTTGGTTGTAAATACAATTACTGTCACACTGAGAGGAGCTGTGTCTCACCATGCCTGGTAAGCAGGATGATCCTCCACGAGGAGCTGGACAACGTGACTTTGCAGAGGGATATCTTGTCTATTTTTTAGCTTGAGGCTCATTTATGCTCCCTTTACATACAAAAATAGATAGTACGTTTCAAACGGTAACATCACTGTCCTCAAACTTCCATGCATTCTTCATGATGGCATAGATACAGTCAATAGATGGCACTAGAGGGGCAAAGTCAAAAGGTTCACACAACAACAAACGCTTGAGGAGGTCGTAATGTTGTACTTTTTTGTACTTTTAAACAGAGGCAGCGCTGAAGACGGCTGTGGTCTGTAAGGCTATTATATAAATACATCCCCATATCTGGATGAAGGATTCTTTTAACTGGTCGGTGAAGATTCACAGTCATCCAGGCCATGATAATCGTAAGTGCTAATATCGTAGGCAACTGGACTTGCTTGCATCCAGTTGCCTACGATATTAGCACTTACAATTCTTTTAACTGATTTTTGCTATATATTATTATATGTTACTGATTCATTCTGTTCCGCCATTATTTAAATTTGTTTGTCATCTCCTACAGTTATATGTTGCTTAAACTATGCTACACTGCCCCATGATCTCTGGTGGTACAGCTCCATTTTGTCAGTATCTGTAAGCTTTCAGGAAATGTGCTCAAATACGGATAAAATTAATGCACAGTACGGACAGGAAGATCTGTCTGTCACTGTCTCCAACATTGAGCATGTTCTCCTTTACCTCAAGTACTCCTCGACCTAATTTGAGGTATAACTGAGGATTCAAAAACATGGAGGCTGATCTAGAGCTTTGACCTTGAATCCAAATGGTCTTGACATGATCTGCTGAGGCCTGGCCTGGCTGTTTTCAGAACATTCCCCTGGCTTGAATTGGTTGGGTCTGCACCAATTTTCTAATTTCTGTATGAATTAACAGACACTTAAGTTTGACTTTCACTGCACTTGATGCTCTGCTCTGTCTCCTTAGACCATAGAGTGTCCTGAGCCTCTGATGCTGGTGCTCTGAATAACGGAATGGTTAATGAGTGTACTCAGGTGCTTGGAATGACTTTTCAAGAGCACAGACTGTGTCACAAATGTCACAAATGAAAAAGACTTTAGTTGACTTTAGGCTTGTAAATACATATTTTTTTTATTGTGGAAATGTAGGTTTTTAATCAGGCAAGAACCCTAAAACTGCTCCCGTGGTTTGAGCTCAGATTGGGCTTGGACAGAAACTGGTGGTTCATGTTGGTCAAACTTGATTTTTTTGGGCCCATCTAAAGCTCTAGGCTGTTCTAGAAACATCACAGTTATCTCAATCCATCCATGGCCACTTATCCATTGCAAGGCTGCAGGGGTTTGGCGCCTATCCCAGCTCACACTGCGTGACAGGTGGGGTGCACCCTGGACAGGATAACCGTCTATCACAGGACTGACACATACAAACAGACAACCATTCACACCTACTGTAAAGGCAATTAAGAGTCTTCAATTAACCTAACCAGCATGTGTTTGGACTGTGGGAGGGAAGCAGAGCACGTGGAGAAAACCTGCACAAATGTTCCCATGCAGCAGAGGATTTGAACCCAGGACCCTCCTGTGAATCAGTAGTGCTCACCACTGCACCATCATTCTTTCCATTTTCTTGCAGCTCTCTCCTGCAGTATTTTGATCTATAATGTCAAATTTAAACACAAACACTAAACACAGCACCGCTTGTCGTCTTAATCACTTGAACGGTTCCTCATAGTTTGCTGGTTGGTTGGCTTCCTCCTTCAGGGCTCAATTGATTTTCAGTGTCTTCTCCACACTAAAGTCATATAATGAAAACTGAGCTCCAGAGGTTTAAGGCTGGCAATACAAAGAAAATATGAATAAAGTATGCATGCTTTTATTCTAAAATATCTTTGAAAACATAACCAAATGTTCATATTTTGGTTTCTTCCTAACTTGTTCTGAAACTCTATTTCATGCATCTTTGGCTCCTCTGGGTGTACTTTGCGAACAACTTGTTTTGTTGAAGGGTCAGTCCACTAAGTTTTACTTGACACGATAACAAAGCAGAAACCTTTGGACACAAGGCTGCCGGGGGAAAAAAAATGCTGTAAAAATGTTGAAGCCTGACAAAGAGCCATTGTTTGGCTGCAAGTAGAATGTCTTTCTTCCACTGACCTTACAAAATATGTAGAGTGGAAGTGAGGAGGCTGCCCTTGAGCATGGTCAGAGAAGGTGAATCAGCTAACAATTGCCTGCTGTCAGGGGCTACTGTGCGAATGTGAATCACTCATTAGGCTTTATGAAGCCAGATTTATTGTGGGGCCCCCTTTCACGCAGCACTGCCAGATCTGAAGCCAGCAAAGTAACCCTCCTCTGATTAGTGCCTTCTCTGTAATATCACACAGACAATATGTTCTCAAAAGCAATGAAGAGGATACCTCATCACAGTCATACAAAATAAGAAAGATAGCTGCAGACAGAGCTGCACGGTGGAGTCGCAAAGAGAGATTGATTATTTTTACCCCTTTGTCCTACTTCCTAACAGTCTGTTGCACAAGTGTGTTTGTGTCCCATCAATAAAACAAATACTGGAAGAAAAAAAAGTGAAAGAGCCTGCCAAGAGAAATGCTGCTACAGGAGAAAATCTGTCTTATTAATGTGAGCAGTTGCATCCATCAGTTTATATCTTAGCTGTAAAATATGTACTAAGAGCACATTCTACCCACTCCTGCACTGTGGCTCAGTCGCTGTGGTGATACCGTCACCGTGGTGACAGCTGTCTCTTTGGATGCTGGGAAAGCAAACCTGTGTGATGTGCCTGGTGTAAAGGAACAGGTTGTCATGAATAAATACCACTAGAGGCTTCAGATTCATGAAAGCACCTGAAGCGGGGACCTGAAGGGGTCTGCTCAAATCAAAATGTCTTTTGAGATGCATGAAACAGTGGAGAAGAGACGTCTTTATTCAAATCCTGTGTCTATGGATCTCTTTCTTTACAGCTTAGGAGTTCATTGTAAAATTATATTACTTTTCTGCAGGGGCTGAGTGTCTGTGGGTTTGAAACCTGTACAAAGGCAAGTAATTAAGGAAGACATAAAAATAATGTAATATTACCATAAATGGTTATGTGGTTTAGATGATCAATGAGCCCAAATCTAAGAACAAATGCTACTGCTCAGGTCTGTTGTGAAACTATGGAAGGGACAAACATGGGAACTACAGTTTGTGAGGCAAATTTGGTTTTCTTGTTTTCTCCTCGCCTGGATCTTCACATGACCACAGAGCAACTGCTTGCTCAAAATCCATGTGTGCTAGGTAAAGATAAAACAAATCAATCCTGCTGTGCACTGTATAGCACAAGATGTGGCCGGTGCCCATTCCTTGAGGAAGGCAGAGGAGACACAGTAGTCTCATAAGATGGACATCTGACAGAACTCCAAACGTGCTGCATTAAATATTAATCTGTTCAAGTAGAGACAATGAAGCTCTTGAGGGAAACACACGTGTGTTTATCGTACTTGGTTGATTCACGTTGCTGCATTAGGACATGCCCAGAGTCGACATGCAGCAACACTCCACAAAGCAATTTAATCACATTGCCTCCCTGGGTTGGCACATCCCAGCTAATGTACCTGATCTACTTTGTGTGTGTGTATGGCTCATCCAGTGTTTTGCGAGAGGCACCAAATAATACAGCCATCGCATGACGCCACTCAATAGGGCCGGTGTGGCGCTGCCCTTTAGCGCTCATGTACAGCTCATCATCTTGATCCTTGTCTTTAGGTTGCCCTGCAGTTTCAGTCACAGGCCTGGTCACCAAAAAGCAACAGAGCAGTATATATCTGTGCATGCTCAGAAAAAAGGGAGTGATGGAACCTTGGGGATTAGTGACTGGTTCAGGACTAGATGACAAACTAACTCTAAATATCCTAAAACATGAATCCCGACTGATAAAATTCACATGAATGCCCCCTGACGTCGGAGCAACAATTCAGAAAGTCGGCAAAAACTTTAGTACACGAGCTGCCGAGTTGACATCATATATGCAGAAACATGGTGAATGAAAGTAAATGTTCTGATGATGGTAATAATCTTTGTATTATTTCACATACTGCACACCAATTTCTTGCTGACATGTAATTAGTAATATGGTATTAGCCTGTAACTGTTCTACGAGTGACCTAGATTAGTTATAAATGTTATTTTATAATTAGTCAGGAAAAGCAATATTTTAATTTTAGGGGATTTTACTGGTGCAGCAAAAAGTCTGGGACAAAATCACTGTAACATTAAGCTTCAAACTTTTATCAACATGTTGTTTAAATGCTCTGTGCAATAAAATCCAGCACATCTTCTTTGTAGCATCAATGTTGCTTCCACATTACGACTTAAAAGCTCATGGAAGCACCGAAGTTGGAAGAACAACTTCCCAACTCTGGAAATGGGACCATCCGTTGGCAACCCAGTGTTACTTGGAAGTTGTTAAAGTCCAGTGTTTGGTCAGTAACTTCCAGCGCCAGAGGCCAA